TTTTAATTTAATATAATTTTTTTAATGATCTAATTATGTAACATAGATTTGGGATAGAACTGTAGATAAACAATTTTTAAAATTTTATCCTTACAAAAAATAATATTATTAAAGTCATGAATTATATAAAACTTCTATTTCAAGATAGTAAATCGAACATTAGTTTTTATGCTTATTTAGAAGTTTTCTTAATGGTCAAGTTTCATCGTATTCTGGGATACGACCTTGTAAATCAGAATGATTTAGACATTTGAAAATATATATCAATGTATGACGTGGTAATATGAAATTGAACGTGAAATGAACGTGTGTGTTTATTTAATTTAATTAAAAATTTTTTCACATGTGATGAGTAGTATACATGAAAATTCGTGGTCGTGGATAGAGTATTTGGTGGAAACAATCAATAAACTTGCTCATGACTTAGTGAGCTCAACAACATTTGACTTATCATTTCATCCAATTAATAGTGTCATTGACGATGAATTACAGCAAAAATTATCTGATTTTTTTAACGACTTTATTAATTTGGTAGCATTTGATGATTTTCAATTGCAATTATTGAAAGTCTTCTTGTTTACATTTATTAGTACTGTGGCTTTAATTTTCATCGTTTGGCATATTTATGGTCCAAGAATTTCCGAACAATTTATGGAAACAAGTAAGAAAATTCATATTTTTATTTTTATATGTATATACATTCACAATATAAAACTCGTACGAATTATTTTTATATATAAACTTGCAATAGTAATTCTCTCTTTTTTTTCGAATATTTGTTTCTAATATTAATATTATTAAAATGAATATATCTATTTATAAATCTATTTTTAACACGATTATTCATCAAAATTAAATAATTTATAGAATATTTATATTTATATTTCATATAAATTTGTGAAAAAAAATTAGAAAGATATATATTTTATGCTACGCAAAAAATAATTCTTAGATAATTTAAAAAAATATAAAAAAAATAAAAGTATCTAATTTGTTTTGAAATATAATTTCACAAAAAATGATATTACATAATCTTATTAAATATAAATATATATAGATAGACATAATAACATAACTTTGTATGTTACTATGAATAAATGTTCATGTTTTTATTTAAATTTTTATTTAAATTTTTTGCCAATTTCTAAAGAAATATTATTTAATTTAATCAAAAAGATTGTCATCAAAATTTGAATTTTTTTAATGAAAACTTAATCTTCGAGGAAAATTTAATCTTCATCCATCACGTCATGATATAGCGTGAGCTGTTTCTCGTAATAATAAAAGCATTTCGTTTTTATAAATTTTTATTACTAATGTCAATGATCTTATTTTGTTTTCAATTCTTTCCAAGTAAAAATTAATTTATTTTTGTTAAAAATCAACTTCAAAGATAAAAAAATAAAGAAATATTTCATAATGTTCATTTCATGCTATTAATAAATAATATTAAGTAATTAGAAAATAATTTTCTATGAATTTATAGTATCAAAATTGTCACATTTTCGTATCTAAAATTTGAAATGTTTTAATATTAATGATATAATTTTTGTCATAGACTCTACATCAGAAGATCTTGACTCTTCATCTGGAGAATAATTTGTTGCTTAATATAAATTATTTATTCAACTTATAATTGTAAGTAAAATCAAATTATTTATAAATGTATTTATATATATTATTATACAAATATAAAGAATTTTTATTCATTTTAGGTTAAGTTAAAAATAACAAAGTTATTAGTGAAAATAACTAAGAAAGTAAATTATTATAAAATTAATTTGCTCTCTATAACATCTAATCTCTTGTAACATTAAAAAATAACAATTATGACAGAAAAAATTAAATCACTTTTTCAAAAGGCAAAAATAGATGTAAAATTTATGAATGCTGGAAAAGGACACAAGTAAAGTTTATTGTAATATATTATAATTAATTAACATTAATACAAAGGATACAAGTTTATAAATAATTTTACAAGTAATACAAGATACAAGTTTTAAAGATTTTATTTCAAATATTTATTGTTTTAATAAATTTTTTTGTTTATTTTTATACATTTCGTTAGTATTTTTATTATTATTTTTTTTGTAATAATTTTAATAATTAGTAGTTTTTAATAAAAAAATAATTGGATTTTTAATCACATTATTAAATCTAATTATAAGAATAGAAAAATATAAAAAATCAAACAAAATTTACTTTTTTATAATTTAAAATAACTGAAACTTGTAATCTTTGTTTTAATAATTATTTTAAAATTATATTATTTTTTTATAAATATAATTTATTTTATAAGTTATTATTTTATCAAATGATAGAAAACTAGGATAAAGAAAACTTAATAAAAATTGTTATTGTATATCAATATCATTTTTAAAATTTTTTTTATTCAATAACCATATTATAGATATTATAATTATATAAA